GCCTGCCACACAAACCGGCAGAACGATGAGACGGGGGGGGGTTAAAAAGAGGTATGAAAAACGGAAACTGGGCGACTCGGAGGGAGTAGTTGTGGGGCAGACTTGGTCACTATTGCTGGGGTGTCTGCATAAAATGGGTGAAATGCATAAAATTGAGATTAAACTCGCGCCGCGAGAAAGCGAAAGTGGCATCGGGTAAAGTGACTGTGGATACCGCCAGGGTCGGAATCTGGATGGGCCGCAAAGCAAACATTCGGAGGCATTCGAAAGAGGCCGGCAGCCTCTTTTGCTTACGTGGCAGCGGAAACGAATTTCGCACATTTTCTACAAAGTTTCAAGTCACATTGTCTTCGTCTTACCCTCGTCTCATCATCCAACGAGGGTCTTTGAAGAGGCGGCGCTGGTGGCGGTCTCGAGGCCGGATTTGTGCGTCCGGTCGGATCGAGGCGATGAAGAGAAGAAAGCGTTTAAAAGATAAAGCAATAACAAGAGAAGAAGAAAATAAAGAAGAAAGCTAAGCCTGACGTTTCGAAGAAGACAAAAATGATGATGATGATGATGATGATGAAAAGGAGAAAGAAGAATATCAAGAATAAGAAGTAGAATAGAAAAGATGTATAAAAGAGGAAAAAGAGGATGAAGAGAAAGAAGACCAAATAGCAAACGAAGAGCAAAGAGAAAACGAATACTCCCTCTCGTCGGAGTTGAGGACGAACCATAAGCAGAGTCAACTGTAGGCATCGGTTCACTGGTTCCTTGCCTCCGAGAAGATAAACAACCCAACCGTGGCCTCGATTGGTTCCGATTCCGTTGAGAGAATTCTCGAAAATGCGGTGAGTCCCGAGGACTCGTTTCCTCCTTGACCCCTTTTTGACTCAGTCTGCCCTTCAACTTGTCCAGTTTCGGCTCCGTTGGCCTCCCGAACTGGCCGGTGTTCAGTTTCACAGCTCTCACTCGCCCCGCGACTCCGAAACAGACTCGAACTCACACAGCTCCCCAGAAAAAGGGAAATCAGTCTGATCTATGTCTGTCT